GATAATTCAACTAGATAGTAAAGGTGCAATAGTGAGAGAACTTAAAGGTAGAATTCAAGGGTGGTTTTCCTCAACCAGGTCTGAACTTGTAGCGATTCTTGTGGCAACTCTAATAACTCCAAACAACAGCAAGGTAAATATTTTTACAGACAGCCAAGTAGTAATACAAGCAATTAAGAAGAGCCAAAAAACCAAAAGCACAAGAAATTGGTACAAAGCAAAGAACTTCAGCATCCCGAGTACTATTATTAAGCTGCTAAATACTAAAAATATATCTATTCAACTTCACAAAGTGAAAGCACATACAGGTGATATCCTAAATGATCTAGCAGACAAGGCAGTGAAAAAAGGCACACAAAAAAGAGAAATAACTTCCTTTACAGTAAACGAGATACAGGAAATAATACTCAGACCAACCTGGAATATGCAACCAATCGATGCTCCAATACAAAGCTTCATCAAAATACTTACTCAAATGTTTTACAAAGCAGACTGGTTATTTGTCTCAAGCCAAAAGGATAGCATTCATCAAAGGAGAATCGACAACCAGAATTGGAAAATATTTAAAAACCTGTGGAAAAAGGAAAAAAAAGAAAAATGAAGATCTTTTAAAGCGAATAAAAAATGAAGCTTCAGACTAAAGAGTCTAAGTGGACTATTGTCTACACTATATCTATGTAAAAGAAACCATGAAGATTTATACCCAATAGCAATTTGCAGAAAATATAAAAAGAAAGAGAAAGACTTCGAACACCTAATGTCTTGTGAAATAGATGAACAACACTGGGTAGAAAAAGAGTATTCAATTGCAAAAGAAATATAGGAAAACTTTGATGACTCTGTAAAAAAGAAAATTTTCCAAAACAATATCTACTCGGTGTTCGCAGGTGGAAGCACTAGAGACCGACATAAGAAAAGATACTACCTGGCAAGAGAAATAATCAAGACAGACCTATCAGCCTCTCTTATATTAACAGGAATTACCAAAAAAGATGCAGAACTAATAATACTCGAATGGTGAAACAAGTGGCACAGCTTCTTTCAAAAAGAAATCTGGCTCCAACAATATGAAGAAACTGTAAAATGGGAAAAAGAGTTGCAAATAAACTTCAAAAAGAAAAAGAAAAAAAGACCCCAGACAATAAAGAATACCAGAAGGACAAGCGTACTCAATTAAGGAGATCTACCGAACACTGGCAAGGAAAGACTCAAGAAGAGGAAAAAACTTTCTGAACAATTTTAAGAAAAAAGTGAATATAGTAACAGAGAAGGTAAACAAATGAATATGAACTGGAAGATGGTTCAGGTGAAACAAAAATTAAGTTAGATCATGACAGGTTGTAGATTTAGGCTGATGAACTGCAATTTCCCTATCTGAGGTAGATAGGGAAAAGGCAGCAAGGTTAATTCTACTTTGGCAGGTTGTACATAGGTACCAATTGGCAACCAGGTGAGCCACACTTTAGTTTAAAATAGCATAGCTATAAATAGATATCACATTTTCTATAAATGTAAATCTTATAATATAAAATAAAGTTGTGACATGATTGTCAAAAAAAAAAATAAATAAATAAATTATTATGAAGTTTAAAGTAGAATTGAATGCCTGTTAGATTTATATATTTACTAAAAATAAAATTTGTATTTAATGCTTAATAATATAAATTAATAGATTCAAAAACTTGATAATTAAATTTTTGCCATGCACTAAATTGCAATAGTATATTTATAAAAAATAATAAAATCTAAAATATTTTTAAAAAAATTAAATACAAAACTTTGGTTTTGTAAAAAATTTATTGATTAATTTCATATATTAAATATATAGTTTGATAAAAAAAAAAACAAATTATATAATAAATTTGCTTTATATTAAACAAAATAGTTTAAAAAAACAGTTGATATATTCAAAATCAACTATAATAATTTTATATATAACTAATTATACATAAAAGACATTTATAATTTACGTTAAACCAGTACTATAAAAATAGGGACCTTGAAATAGTATTATTTTTAAGATCCCTATAACAGTACTGGTTTATGAATACCCCCATATATACGTGTACATATAAAACTTCACGCACGTGCGATATCTTTTTTCTAGATAACACACTTTATTGAAATAGAAATTTTTATTCGTATAAATGACGCACCCTGACCTGGGGTATTGATTTTGCACAGTCAAATTAGCCGATATTGATATGACAAAAAAGGGTTAATAAAGCTATTTTTAATTTCTAAAAATAAAATCTGTATATACTGTATATATATATATATTTGTATAAATATATATATATATATATTTGTAAATATATATATAATAAATAAACTTACACAGTATATTTGTTTGTAAAAGAAGTTAACAAACACTATATTTTTTTTTGTATTATCTTACTCCCTTGATATATGAAAAGTCAACAAATTTTAACAATGTATTAAAATGGAATTGCCCAGTGAATTTTCATATACAGTATTTTTGTATACGCATAATCAGTTAATATCTTTAATAGTCTACAAGCTTTAGACCCTAAAAAAATATATATTTATCGATATACATATTTAATACATTTAATACATTTTATAAAAACAAAATCGCAGGTTTCTGATTGGCTTATTGATAAATTATAAATGGTTAATAAAAAATTAATATGATAATGATGATTCAAAGTTTTAAATTTGGATTAGAGTAATCCGATAGATTAGTAATAGGTAACAAAACTAGTACGCACACAGTACGTACGTACGTGTAATAATACCAGATACAGAAAAGCAAAGAGATAACCAATTAAAAACATTTACACCATTAAATTTTCAATGCAAGTAGCAAACCAACATATATATACTTTTATAATTTTGGTTTATAAACTTGTATTTAAAGTAAGCAAATAATATATATATATATACTATATATAAAAAAAAAGAATGATATAAAACAAATAATATAGAGGGTAAGAAACAAAGGGTGAAAAAATATTTATAAGAGAAGGGGAAAAAAAATATTTCGGAAAAGAAAGAAATACCCAATAATATTTATTGTATGATGCGTAATATATAATAATATAGGTTCCACTAAATAATGTGTATTGACAACCAAAAACTCGTAAAAAAAACCAATAAAAAAACTTAATGTATAAATGGATAAAACCATAAAAAAAAATTTAAGACTTTGATGGAATCGTAAATAAAATAGGTTAAGTAAATGATTACTGTAGCATGGTAGGTAAATATATGATTTCGTTAATGGTGAAAATGGGTAACGAAAAAAAATACAAGAAATAGAATTATTATGGGTGAAGTAAATTAAAAACTGTGAAATTTTTTACATGTACATATGTACAATAAAAAAAAGTGCCATAACAAAAAAGTTAAAACACACACACACTAAATAAAATTTTTTGTCATTGCCTTCTTTTTAAAAAAGGGAAAATCGTGAAAGAAGTTTTATGTGCAGAAATATACATAACTTCTGCGGTCATTAACATAAAAATGTCACACACGCTATGAATGATAAATGGGGGAAAATAAATGAGTTAGAAGACATTAATTATTAAAATAGAAGCGGGCGGGAACCCGTCAATACTTCCAAGAGAAAAGCCCAGCTTTCTTTGGCAAGTTGTCAACCATTGTCCATCATATATAAAATATAAAATAAAGAAATAAAGAAATATATATATATATCCAACCAAAAATCCAATTAATCGGAGCCCAAACGACCAAATAAGTAACCGCCACATACTATTATAATACATATATATTAATTATAATTCTCATAAGAAGGATTATAAATTTCCAATGGTATGATCGAATTGGATTGGTAATAGTTTGGCATAGTTGCGGACGTAGAGATCGGGGATGACGAAGTAGTTGACGATGGTGAGACAGCAACTATAACATCTCCATGATGATGAGGACTATTTTCACCACTATTATGATTATCATTTGAATTTGTAGATGCGACAACATTCGAAATTATATCATTTGTGTTTACAGTACTAGTATTACTAACATATTCGGTAGGACTTAAAGAACCTATCGAAGATGCAGGTGAATGTTGTTGCGAATGCGGAGGAGATTGTTGTTGATGTGGTGAAGAGGAATTAAACATTAATGGAGGATGTGATGTTGTCGTCGTAGGAAATAAAAAAGAAGACATATTCGAACTTGGAACAGTATTGACGGATTCCTGTATCAAGACGGGAGTATTCCAGTGTTCGTTAAAACCTGTAAGACCTGGGTGAGCGCTGTGAGGGGAGTGTTGATATTCTCCAATGATAGAAGATCCTGACATATTATATGCAGAATGCGAATCTGGTGACATGGCTAAGGATTGAGACACTGGTGGTGTCGATTGCATTGACGAACCGGTGATTGAAGAGTCATTACCACTCATTAAATTATTTCCAGGATGGTTTTGGTGAGTTGCATAGACGCCATAATTAGAAGGGATCGATGAAGGTACTGTTGGCACATTTTGAACAGATGACGGTGTCAAATTAGACTGTTCACTCTTGACAGACGTTGTCTGTTTATCATCATAACGCATACGTTTTGACGACGGTATATCAGGTTGTGATGATGATAATGGTCTAGTGAACCCACGACTAACCTCCTGAAGTAATTGAATACCTGTAAATTATAATCAACATTTAATTAGATCATGCGCATGGATAATAAAAAAAAATAATAAAGAAAAAACGTAATAAAAAATATAAAAATATAAAAATTATATTTTTATATTATAAATAAAATAAATAAATAAAAAAAAAGAAAAATATATATATGTATATATATATATATATATATATCAGAGTTATATATATTATGTATACATTTAGTACATACTTTCTGGTGAGGTGTGGTAAACCAACTGCGTCAATTGTATAACATGAGCATGATGTTTTTGTAAATCCTCTGTCAAATTACGAACTTCTGGAATTAAACGATCATTGACGATACTATTCATATGTTTTAAATCCTTTCGCAAATTTTCGGTAGTCATTGTCAATTCGGCAATTCTTTTACGCATTGCAAGATCGTTATCAGATCTATCCACAAAATCTTTTGAATCTGTAAAAGGATTCAAAGTTGAATGGGATGGAGAATCTTTTATATTTCCAGATTTACCATTGACAGGGGATCCGTAAACGGAGGATGAAGATGTAGGACCAGATTCTCCTTGATTCTGTGACATTGAAGAGTCAGAAAGACGTGGCTTCCTTCTTATAGTTTTTGATACTTTTCGACGTATATTTGGTAATAAATCTTGTCTACCACGTCTAAATTGTGAATGAGAAAATACGCAAGCGTGTTTGCTACGGACATGTTTTGATTTGCGTGCATCTGATACTCGATAAAATCCATATATCTAAAATGAAAAAAATGTAGTGAGATTCAGTTAAAAAAAAAGGTAACGACTTATGACTTACATTAAGTTGTCGAACAAATGAAGTGAATTTGCAATGTTTGAAAAATTTCGGTAAAACATTTTGTGCAAATTCATCCATATTACAAATCACAAACACATCCCCCGTTTCGTTCCACGTAAGGTATTCTTTATATTCGTCACCGTCAAGCAACCTAAAATAAAACATATACAAAGTTAATATAATTCATTGATAATATTAAAAATCAGATCAATTAAAATCAATTAAACTAATTTGACATCAAAAAAAAAAAAATACAAGAGGCAATTTTTTGCACGAAAGTTAATTTAGTCTTTCACATTACCATTTTAAGGTACTTTAAAAAATTTTTTAAAGTACTTTACATGGCAAAGAAGAAGAAAAAGAAAAACTTACTGATATAATTTTGCTACGAACACTGATACTGTGTCGAGATCATACTTGCCCGTTTCTTCTTGAAAGAGAGGCTCCCCCTCTGGACAATTCGTTACATGTGAGGGATTTTCAGTGAAAACTTCATAAGATAACATCTCGTTTGATTGGGAAGGCATTATATTGGTCAGAGTGTTACGAATGTGCTCATTCGCTGTCATGACAGATGGTACAACGTGACTTTGTTGTTTCGTTCCAAGAGGTTGTTGATATTTAGTGAACCTTTTTTTTTTGTTCGGTCTTTACAAGAAATATTGTGTAGGAGATTATTGAGGAAGAACAACAGATCACAAAAAAAATATATTATTTAGGAAAAAGAAGTGAGAGGTGGTGGCTGAGTATGAAGAAAGAAAGAGGTGTGAATTTGTGGAGAGCGTGTGGTAAGGTTTGTAAGTGTGGTAAGTGTGTGTGTATAGAACGTGCGTAAGTTTGTGTTTGTTCACAAAATTGTTTTTTTTTTTCTCTTTTTTAAAATGATTTATTACAAATAGGTAAAGTATGTAAACGAAACACACAGACCACCACAATTTGTACTTTTGTTTATGCAGCAGCAAACAGAAGGCGGTTGCAAATGAAAGTGAAGTAAAGACTAGGCATAAAAAACCGGACGCTTTTATATATATATAATTTTTATAGGACCTTAACGCTCCCCATTTATCACAAGGCGCGAATACAAATTTTTCGTTGCGTGCGCGAAGTCGTCGTCGTAGAAGAAGAGTTTGTTGTGTGTGTGTGTATTTTGAGCACGTTTGACCATAGAGGAGCTTTATGCTCGTACAAACCGGTGACCTTTTTTCGTTTAAGGTGAAATTTTTAGTTTGGGGACGGAAACCGATGAGCGACGCACTACAGCACAGCACATTATAAAAGGTTTATTTAGAAATATGGCATTCTAATATTTATATATAATGTCAATAAAACCATGCACTTTTCAAACGGTAGAATTATCACTATTGCAGTTATGTGTGACAGTTTTGTATTTTGGGAGTGGCAGTGTGGGGCAGGAAAAAAACATCATCAGATCACTTTCCGATTAAACGAATAATAAAAAAAAAAAAAACTATTACTGATGGTTTACGGTTTAGCGGTCGCGGGTTGCGACGAGTTAATGAAAACCTTGAGCTCTTTTTTTTTTTTTTCTATATGCTGTAATGAGAACCATAAAAGTTCAAATTATGTATGCATATCACCAAAATCGATGGCTATAATAGTAAATAGAAAAACTTTGATAAAAAAAAATTGGAGTAATATAAGTCCCGGAAAAAAAAAAGAAATAAGAGGATATCATAGATACTTTTTTTTACCGGGTTTTAGATCAAAATATCATATAGATTTTATTTTTATTTTTATTTTTATTTTTATTTTTATTTTATTTTTTTATTTTATTTTACATGAGATTAAAAAAAAAAAAAACAGTATCGGGGAACGATGTGATTGTACATCAAGTAAAAACCGGTAGGAGATGTATCCTAAGCACGGGGGCTTGGTCGATAAATGAATGCTAGCATCGGGTGTGAAGCCGTGGCGCAGCCGCTGTTAGGTTCATCTAAATAAGGAGAAATATGGTAAAGAACTATTGGTTTCTTTTGTTTACTCAGCGCCATATACTATAAGGAGCATGATACGAATTAACACACACTTGCTTCCAAAAAAAAAACGTGGCAGACATTTTTTTTTACACAGTTGAAAGGAGTTTGTTTGAAAATAAGTTAGACTTTAATACAAATTCAAAGGATTCGGGAATTCTTTGTCATTCAAAGTGTTTATTAATGAACAAAGAAAATTAAATGTGACATAGGAAATTTTTGGTAGGATCAATGCATCGGTGAAGAACATATGCCGGTAGATCCATAGGGCAACACACATATCTGTATATATATGCAATGTCATAATTTATCAATGTATGCGCTGCATATTATTGCTTGTAAGTTGGCTGAATTTCCTAAAAATCATCTGCGAACAATTGAATACATGCGCGTAAAACAATAATTTCTGCACGTATATAAGGATTTAAAAAAAAAAAAAAAAACTGTCAATGTGATATCACATCATGCGTTTATTTTTCTTTAAAAATATTAGGTGACATTTAACATGTTGATGCAAAGATAAATGCAATCAGGTTCTTAAACTTGTGCTTTAACTTTTTTATCAAATTCTCTACGCATATAACCGGTTTTTATGTCATTAACGTGGCGAATGAAAACTTTCTTAAAATATAATTTTAAATATGATACATCTTCAGAGCGCGATTCAATAAAAAATTAATTGCTTTTCCGTTACTAATGTTAAAAGATTTGATCGAAAATATTTAAAATATCATACATTGACGCATTGATATATTGCTTTATTGATGTACTATATTATATTAAAAGAAACTGTAAAGACGCCACTTGCCTAGGTTAGCACTAGACCAGATTTTCATTATTATTTATTTGCATAAAATTTGTTTGTGATATTTTGTCAAAAAAAGCTTTTTTTTTTTT